AGGCAGAGTATTGACATCCCTATTTGTAATTACAATTTACTAATCTGATGTTTTTATTTTAACAAAACTATTATAATGTGAATTTATTTTTTAAATAGATTTCCTCCTATAAATTATTTATATCATTTGGATAATCTTTAAATTATTTCATCCATCACTTTTTCAAGTTGTGCATGAATGGTGTCTGCCTATCACTACAACAAAAAATTCATTGTACATTAAAAAAATTCATCATTTACTAAAGTTCCAAAACAATTCACCATTCATCAATGTTCCAAAACAGGAACAAAATCCATTTGTCAAGAATATCATCAATTTCCTAGCACTGCTGTTTAGCAAATTTATAAACCTTCTAGCACTTGAGTTTCAGTCTGCACTTGTAAAAAAATCACCTCATTGTCCATGGTACAAAATCCAAGCAAGTAGCTGCATCACACAAGTCTCAAATTCAGTATGCTAATCACAAAAGGGAAAGAACAAGATTGTCATTTATGAATCAAATAGATATCATCATCATTGACAAATAAAATGTAGCGAAGAAACTACTACCAAAACGTACGAACAAAATAACATACATAAATAAACAAAACCAAGATAAGAGAGACTAGTGCTAATTTGGGCATTTGGCAACTTAATTCCGCCTACTCCTGATAAACAATACTGCTTTCCCATACAATTAATTTAGGTAATGGAGGTCTAAATCCCCGTGACCCGCCTAATTTAATTCCAAAGGTTTTGTATTTTCATGTAAATTTTGGTATACACCCAGAAAGACCAATTAATTATATTGGATTCTCAACTAGAGGTATAATTTAACTTGATTATCAGTGAACAAGATATGTAAGTAGTAATAGACTAAATAGTAAAGGGAACCAAGATCCAATATAGGATATTTTCAGCAAGGGGTAAGAAAACAGGATCATAAAAGAACTGGACAAAGAAACTGCAACTATATTTCAAGATTAACAAGTTAAACATCACCTTTTGAGTCTTTAATTTCTTTAATAACCCTCTTCAGGATCACTCCTACACCAACACAGTTTTTTTTTTTTTTTTTAGTATTGTCTTCAGCAGTATCCTAAAGCCATCATCCATACCAAGACAGTTTTTGGTTTCTTTTAATTTTCTAATACAGTTGTCAAATTAAATTAAATTTAAAATGACGAACCGACATTATTTTTGTGGTCCAAAACAAAATCCTCTCTCATTAATTAAGGTCACATAATTCTAAAGTTCTAGCTTGTCTACTGTCTTTGATGAATGGTTGAATTTTAGGAAGCGAATATCTGGTTTCTCACTACAAAATAGGTTAACTTCTTATAATAAGCTATGAAATCAAGTGATTCCTATCAATTATCCATTCCACAACTGGTTTTAGGAAAACACTAACCCCACCATAAGCGTGACTCATCCTCCCATTCCAACCACCTAGTAATGAGATGGTGTCTAGACATTTATAATTCACAGCTACTCACAATTGATCACATCAATCAATATCAATGCACTAGATGAAGCAAGAGTAGGCTCAAATGCTTACACAATAATAGAAGAGACGACATATCAAAACGTATTATGCTCTATAAGTAATTATAACCTTTATACCTAGGGCTGTAACTTGGGCTGGCTAACCCAGCCCAACCTAAGCCCAACTCAGAAATTTTAAAATTGAGGCTTTAAATTCAGAAATCGGGTTTATGTTCGGGTTGGATTTTGTCAAAATCCAAACATATTCGAGTTGGGTTGGACTCAACCCGAACCCTAAATTTTTTCCACCATTCTAATTACATATTATGGCCTTTTAAGTTTTTTGTTGTTTGGAATCCATATTGTTCATAAGCATGGGCAAGGGACTTGAGGACTTGGGACCTGTTTGGACCTTGTAATTTAGCAAAATCAATGATAGGAAACTTGAGATTAAGCTGAGACTAGTATATTTTGAACATTAGGCAAGGCAATTTAATATTTTTGTAGGTACATAATAAAAAAATAAAAATAATAATTCAGTGGGGCAACATGTCTGTGCCGCCAATATCCAAGGCATAATGCACACATATACACCTTGGTCAACAAATATTAGCAATCCATATCAGCAATGTACTCACATTTTTTGACCAAAACAAAAAAAAGTAGCCTATCTCGAACACAAACAAAACTCCACTTGACTTTTAGTAAAATTCTTTAGCAGCTAAAATCAGTCTTTCATTTTTCTCACTTATTATCGGCAACGAAATTAAATAAAATCTCAAAAACCAATTCTAAACAATGGACTATACTAATTAAATATAATATAAATAAAAATAAAAGTTCATGAAAATATTACATATATATATATATATATATATATATATATATATATAGGAATTGATGAAAAAATACATACTCTGAAAATTTTAAGAGTCGTGGCTTAGCATTGATCGTTTGGTTTAGAGAGCGAAATGTTGTAACTAAGAAACCCTTGAGAGAGAGAGAGAAGCGAACGGGGCGTTTTTATGTATGTATGCGTCAAAGAGAGAAGGAAAGAGGAAGACGACGCTAACGTGGAAGAATATGATTCGTTTGATGGAGACTAACAACGCGGAAGACGAAAAAGGGTCTGCTGATAGGGAGAGTTTAAGGACGAAAAGGGATTGATTTTTGATACGGAATGTTAAAAGACGAGTTTGGACTCTGGCATTCTCTATACTTTCCCAAAAATCAGAAAAAGTTTTTACGTCATTCATTAATACACGTGTAGCGCGGGCAACGTGAGAACTTGCATTTACGCTTATTACGGTTTAAATGTACGAAGAACTTGAGAACTTGCATTAACTCATTAAACAACATATCAACAACTTCTCCTCCACAACAATCAATCAAAACCTCCACATATGATGATCCTATACTCCCATGCTTTCAACATTTTAAAACAAGAAATAAAAATGGCCTCCACATGGGCCGATGTAGCAATAAGGTAATAAAGTTCAAGATACACCATAAAATTGGTCACTTAAAGGCATGTGACCCCCCCGAGTATGAGTATAAAAAGCATTACAAATGTGCAATCATAAAGAATTTTATCGAACATAAAGACCATATAACTTACAAATTTGATGTACTTGATAGCCATGCAATCGACGCTCCCGTTGTTGTCTTTTCCCAGCCCCTAGCGGGAAGACTACATTTGAAATACATGCAAATCAATTAAAGAAAATATAACGCCAAAATATTGTACAAGTGGAGATGGTTAAATGAAAAAACTCAAAAATAAGGGACATATGAGCAGACAACTTTTTTATTAGGCGCTAGTAACCAAAAGCAAGACTCTAAACAAAATAAATAAATAAATGGGGTAACAGTAGTCAACTAAGATTATAGCAAAATCCTTTTTATTACTGTTTCTTTATTTTTTTATTTTTTTAATTGATTGGACTATTTGGACCACCAAAAATCAGAAGGAAGCCTAAAAATCTATTTGAAACAATTTTTCCCAGAAATACATACTTCCCTTTGAAAAATCAATAAAAAAGAAATTCTCAAACAATTTGCATGAAACCAAGTCCATTGGAAGCTTAAACACACAATTTTTCTTCAATCAATTTAAATCAATAAATTTTCTTACCGATTAAATCAGGTTTGAAGGAAAAGATAGGAAAAATTCTGCTTACAAAACAAGGATCACAGCATGTTAAGATCAACTTCAAAAATCCATACTAATTTCAAAATCCAATCAATTTGAGCCAAAACAAAAACCTGTAAACTCATTAATAATAACTGATATCACATAATTTGAAGTGATTATTGTCAATCGTGAGTTTGAAACGTATTCGTTCACGTGATCTTTTAAAGGTTTTGGACATTTAATAGAGAAACAAACAAGTCTTTTTCTTTGTCATTGTATAAAAAAGAACAAGTGATAAATACCAAAAAGTGCCATACATACCTCATCGGTTCGTAACACAACAAATTGGTCTCTGCTAGTTATATGTGACAACACCTCACTTCAGGGACGGATATAAGTCCAAAATCCTTAATAAAGTAGTCCCCAAAGGCTTTAGACATTGCCAATCTGGGGCATTCCTCATTCGGCAGCCAAATTTTGTGCACCACAGGCTTGTTGTTTAAACTGAACACTCTCCCTTTGTACTGATTTATCCATTCAGCCTCATCTGTCAAACAATGTTGATAATGTAAACACAATGTTCATATAATTTTTGAGACACAAAGAAAGTGAGGAAGAGAGAGACTCACGAGGTAAATTGTGGTTGAAATAACAGTAAGCTGAACAAGCACCAAGCTGCCATCTCCGGTTGTGATAGCCAATACAGTACAAGAATCACTCACATTTGCTATAAATATATGTTCACCCAAAATATTTCAATTTAGGATAATAGGAAGATCAGCTCTGGTACAAATTTTGGGGAAAAATATATCTGCAACAATTCTCCATTAAAAAAAATATAAAAAAAGATAAACACTAGAATTGAACTTCAAAAAGCTATTTTTATTAATTGACGCTCTCTGGCACGCATACGATAAATTAGACACCTGAGAATAGTTTATGCGAATAAGTATATTGCGTGCTCTGGCATTGTGAGGAAACAAGTCATAATGACTTTAATATGATGTTATTTTCCTAGCCTTCCGTAAGCATGTAACATGTAAGCCCGTCCATTGTCACATAATCCCATAACCTCCTTGCTTTCACGACCCTCCAGCTGCCAGAAAACTCACACACCTATGATTTTTAAATAACACTCCACATGAAACTCATACGAGGACCCAGGAAAATAATTTCAATACCAAAATAAACCACCAGACGAATAATACAAATTCAACTTAGAATAAGTTACATCATACTTAGAAATGTTTTCTAAATAAGTTAGAAATACTATCACAACATAGTTATACTAATGCAGTAGGGGAGCTCCAAGGAATTAATAGTAATTACAAAATAATTCCATATTTAAAGCTTTAACACCTTACAAAATAACTCCACTAGAATTAGCAATTATATAACTATTCTATCCAGGTATAGGAGCCTTGCACTTTCGACGATTATGACCATTCTCGTTGCATCGCGAACAGTGTAACGACCTTACATTTTGAAATTGTGATTCGATTCGTTTAATACGAGGTCGTCCAGGGGGACGTGTTACCGCAGGAGGCCTAAGATGGGAAGCACCTTCACCGTCAGCAGCAGCAGCTGGATTCGGCATATCATGCATGGGGATAGAAGACATGAGATGTTCGCCTAGTTTTTGTTGTTTTTCAACCCTAAACCATGGATCAACCATCTCATAAATATTTAAAGATAATTCATGGATGGCATAGCATACATGCGAACAAGGAATCCCACTCATGGTCTACTTCAAACAACTACAAGAATTTTCACTGCCAAATACCACCCTGAATGGTTTTCTGTCTCGATCATATATTGTACACTCAGTAGGCGAAACACGCATCGACTGAAAACCAAGTGCTAACTCTTGCTCTTTTTGGATTTTCTCCTCAATACGATCCCCAACCAGGATAGTCCACTTCTGAATGTCCAAACTCTTTTGGTATAAAAATTTGCTGAGTCTTTGCATGTGTGTATCCATCAGCCTTGTGATTGAAAAAACCCTCTCTTCTTTCACCCATGCATTGAAGGACTTTGCTTGATTGGTGTATAATTTATCCCAACGCTTGGAAGTAAACATAGCATTTGACCAATGTTCAAGTGAATTCGCCAAAACCGAATCGCACAACTCCCCTCGAAATACCGCATGGCAGCCAATGCATTCTCATACTCATCTACAGTTCGAGCATATGCAATTTTATCGAGTAATTTTTTCGCATGCTCTTTACCCGAAGCCCTCAATCCTAAACTTTGTCTCCCAAGAATGGATGTAGAAAAATTCGCCGTTAGGTGACGAAGACACCATGAGTGGTATTGGGAGCCAAAAATATCTCTAATACAGCTTATTAGGCTCGGATGCCTGTCGGTTAAGATTGTCACAATGCGACCATCTAGAATCTCTTTCACCTTGCTCAAGAACCAATGCCAATCATCATCATTCTCAGAAGAAACAACAGCATACGCCAAAGGCCACAAGCCATCATTCGCATCGAACCCCGTTGCACCAAGCATTGTTCCTTTATAATTGCCACTCAAGTGGCAAGCATCAATTGCTAACATGGGCCTGCAATAGTTGATGAAACCTCGTATGGAGCACCCATAAGCTACAAACACTCGCTTAAATCTCCTATCATCCATGCACTCCCACGATGTAATTGTCCCGGGAATATATTCTGCTATTCGTTCACACAACCACGGGACTAAAATATAGCTATCCTTGGGATTTCCCTCAATGATATGACGTGCACACTCCTTAGCTCTCCACGATTGCATGTAAGTCATTTTAGCAGAAAATTCACCGTTTATGTCTGTGGAAATAGTCTTGGGGGTGCATTTAGGATTGTCCCTAACCTTGTTCACAATAGCTCGACCCATTTCCTTCGACCAAAAAATGGCTTTATAATCTGAAATGTCTTGAGCAGTGTGAGTGTGAACATTATTAAACCGCTTGATTCACTATATCACCACTTCCTTCACAACCAGCTGACAATTTCCATCGACAATTATTAACCTCGCACATAACTCTATAATATTTTCTGCTATTGTCCAAGTACTTGAACCGAAAATGATTACGAAGACCAAACAAAACGAGTGCATCTTTGAAATCATTTGGGCTGTCAAAAAGCTGATCCACGCAAAGAATGTCATCAATGTGTCGGAAAGAATCCCGATGCGCATTTATCGGAGGAAATGAAGACGTTGACGCAACATTTTGCAGAAGACCAATTGGCGATGTGGCTTCAACAAATTGTCTACAAGTGGATAAAAAGGTATATTAAAAATCACATAACCTATGCAGCGCATACATCAATGTATTACTTTAAATATATGTGTCTTACCTCTCACTATGATCAATAGGAATTGTGCATGATGCAATTACAGGCGCTGCATCTTCCATATACACATTTAGCATGAGACCACTCACTACAAGCATCACTCTAAATCTAGATTCTCCCGTCATCCTCAAAAGTTCATTCTTGTTAGATTTGGTGGTATAATATATGACTTTACCACTCATGTTTGAAGATGAATGTTGTTGTAACTCATTTATAAACGATTCATATGTTGTTGTTGTTGTTATCATAAAAGGGTCTGTGACACCGCCGATGTATATAATTTCCCCATTCTCATTTTTGTCAATTTTCCCATCAAATCGACAATAGCATATAATTTGTCTCTCATCTATTTCTCCAACTGCTTCGAAAATTGACTCATTAGTTAAAAAAAAAAAAAAAAAAAAAAAAAAAAAAAAAAAAAAAAAAAAAACTAAATATGAAGTTCAAAAAATAATGAAATATAAAACAATTAAATATCATAATTATATAATGTAATTTAGAGATCTATTTACAGCGAAACACTACCAATTCCCTCAATAAGGATAGGCGGTGTCAAGATTAAACTTTTCCTAAACACACACTACAGACCTTTTTCAAATCAAAATACAACCACAAAATCAATGCCATTGATTACTAGATAATTGTATCACTATGTGTACAACAAACATATATACAAGATGAGGGAGATTATGAGATGAATAGAGAGTTAAATGGGACAATATAAATTGAAAATAAAAAATTGAGAGTTAAATAGAGAGAGAGCAGAGTGTTGAATATTTTTCACACACATAATTTATATGTGTAAGTCTTGAAAATGGGGGAGACAAGTACAAGGGAATGTTGGAATAATAAATTAATACTAAATACATTTTTTTGATAAATTAATACTAAATACATATATTAAAAAAGCCTCATTTATAGAGTTTGCTAGCTTTTGCATCAATCCTATCATGTGCGTAGATGCCTAAAGACACATTACACAGAGGTATACTCTACATGCCATTTGAGAAAGAGGCAACAATCTTGAATAATTCTTGATCTAAATTGAGTTATAATAATTAATTATACATAAAAACTAATTGGACTACCTATGTGTTGGTGGCTTTGAATTTTAACTCCTAAATTCCTAGTTAAAGATTTAAGACTATGGAATGAAGAAATAGAATATCTGTGTGTATATATATATGTATGTAATGTGTATATGTATATACACACACAACACTAGATCAAACTTAGAAGAAGTAATTTAAATATATAGAGAATGCTATCGTTAACAAAGGTTGGAATTTGAATAACTGACCAACAAATGATTTTCACACATCACTCATTATGACAAAGAAATATTATTTAATATAAAATACCCATCTATTACGTTGGATTATGATTTATAAACGTATTCAAATGAACACTTGCTACTCATTGTTATCTTTGGAGTTTAGGAGATAAAAGAAAGCTTTTTAAGGTTATCCTTTCCAACTTTTCTATTTCTTATACACTTTGTTTTCTTCTGCTTAACGAAGTATGCCTCCAAGATCACATGTTTTTGAGTCATTTTGACAAATCCATTAAGAGAATAATAATCCACATCAATGGAGCACTGTTTATTTAATTTGCTTTAAAACTGAGGTCCACATTCCACAATGATGAGCAACAAATTAAGATAAATGGGATGATGAAACCTATATACTACACACTCAGTCCAGCAGGAAATGATTGAACTATTGCCTACTTTGGTGTCCAGGGCAGGCTAAGAGGTCTCCATCTAATTTAATTATTTAAATATTGCTAAAATTTGAAGAAATTTAAGTATAGTATTGGTTATCTAATTTTAAATGATTTAGCGACGTTAAATAAATAAAATCTAAAGGTCTTAATCTACCAAAATCCAAATTTGATCTCAAATTTTTTATAAGCATTTGATATCAAATTTTTTGGATTTCCATGTTGAGACTAATCCTAAAAGGCTCGTAAACTGATCCAACAAGTCCACCATCAAATACTTATATATGTTTTTTTCCTTTTTCAAAAGCAAAGGAGCATAGATTAATGACGAAAAGAAATAAAATCCAATTGCAATATGTTCAATATATACACACAGATATATATACATATGTGTGCATGTGTTAACGAGTGTGTGTGAAAAAGGAATCAAGACGAAGGAATTGAACAGAAAAAGTTACGATTTGCTTACTAATCAGACAAAGGAATCTGAGCCATGTGTTATCATTTAGGGCTTAAGACTTGCTTCGATTGATGGCAACTGGAGGAGGTTTGATTGAAAGTGTATCAGTCTTTAATGAACAATACCACAAACATAAATATGCATATATTTCAAATTCATCAACACAAATAATCCTAGTTAGTTGTTAGGATAATAAGACTTCAAAGCCACACAAGTGGCATAATTCATAATTCATCTAATGATAATTTATATGAAGTAAATTAAGTTTCTTCAGGTCTCTGACTTTTAAGCTGTTTCTCAACTGTGCCTTAGTTTTATTTGATTATAGGTTTTGATTTTTCTTTGTTCAGTAGTTGATTAATGCTAAGGATCAGCTGATATGCTGAGTTGGTGGTATGTTGCACCGTGGCAGAATACTCTAATTGGTTTAATATATTATCTTGCACCAGTATGTATTTAGTAGTTCTGCTTATGTGAACAAATGATTCTTGTATGTGAAGAAATGATTCTTGGGGACAGGCAGTAAAACACATTACCAATTAGGTTCTGCTGAGGATTTAGTCTGCAGTCATCAAAGAGCCTTGAATATATAGTTTGAATGAAAAAAGCTACCAAAACAAACAAAATCATTCTTCTTTGGCCCTCTGACTATGTGGGCATGGAAGATTCCCATAAATAGTCTGGTTATCTTAAAATTGAACAAATTGTTAAGTTTCAAAATTCTTTCTAATAGGAACCATTTTTTATTTTTTGTATTACTTACTTTTTCCACTTCTATTACCACCCTTCCCCATCCAAGCGACTCAGCTTGAGTGGTATCTCATGTCGCTTCCAAATAAGGATTCAATTTCCATGTAAAAAATAATAGTAAAAAATTGATAAATTCTGACTCTTTTTGTAGGAGGATACAAATATAACTGATTTTACATAGATATTATTTTCTAACGGAGTGAATTGATACTACTCATAGCTATCGAGCAATATTGTGGTGTGTATTGGTTGTAACTGACAATGTGAATTTAAAATTTCAAATGGATATAACCATGGTCAGTATTAATGGTTTTAACTAAATTTTGATATTTCCATTAAAATGGTATCTCTCTTTGATTTTGGATCATGTGTGTGGTTATTAAATTATGTGTTGATTTGTAAGGTTGCTTTCAGATTTGGACGAAAATAAAATGAAAATCTTGATAGTTTGTTGATGTAATGAGCTTAAAATTTTAAAATTATATGCTTTGAATATATATCTATATCAGTCCATGGCAACTACTGCTTAATGATAAATAAGCCGTGAAACTACTTTGATCATATGGAGCTTATTAGTTGCGTCATGATTACTACTAGTTTTGTGTATGTGTTCCATTATGTACTAGTGAATGTGTGGTATTTAGGCCTATGGCCAGTGTGTGTGTGTTAAAATCATGTATAAACATACATATATATGACAAAGTCATGTTATGTTTAAATATTTCAGCCCAACTCTTGTAAAAATCAGAACAAATTCATGTTGGTTTGGATGACTCCTAAAGGTTTTTTTTTTGGAAGGTTAAACAAGTATTATTATACCATTTCTCTCATGCCTTCTCTTTCTCCTTCCAAATCGAGGTACGTTAGGGTTTTCTCTCCCCTAATGGCACACGTGTTCTATGGACCTGTATTAGAGTATAGTTCACACTATGATTCTTAAGATTGGTGTGCTTATTGAAGGTCTAGTGCTGTTTCAATCTCCTCCTAACAGCACTTAACATAATCATAAACTAGATTTAGCTCAGCCATTTTGTCTTGAAGTTTTTCCTCAATCTCATTGGGAAGCTATTCATGTAGTGGCTGAAATATGTTTGTTTTTTTATGATCCAAACACACTCAAACAAACACCAAACAGTGACCAATAGCTAGCCGCAGAAGTTACAATAGGTGTAGCTAGCCTATGACAAGTGTGTTTGTGTTAAAATCTAGGTCATCCAATTCTTTTTAACAGGTGTAAATCTAGCTCCCATTCTCACGATTTGTTTGTAATTTAATTTTGTTGCTTTTGCGCTCTATCTACCACTTTATGCGACTTAGTATAAAACCAAATATAAATATAAACTTACTAAATTTTTCTGTTACTATCAAATACCATTAAAGCAAAATTACAAAATTAAACCCTCCCTCACAAGAAACAAAATTTTAAGAATTTATTAATCATTCTAATCGATTGCAATAGGCTGCCAACATAATTAATTGAGAGTCAATAATTCAAAGAGCATTTCATTTTATTTTTGTCCAAATCTGAAAGCAACCTTACAAATCAACACATAATTTCATAATCACACACATGATCCAAAATCAAAGAGAGATACCATTTTAATGGA